CCATAAGAGAAAAAAAAAGCTTAACTGCTATTTTCAAATTACTTGGACAAAAAATAACTTTTTTTATTAAATTGCATTTCTTAATTTATTACATTACTAGCACGTTATCAAGACGAAACTGCGTTCGAATTCTTGAACGTATTCCCGTTGGATGCATTTGAAATTCTCATTCAAAATGTATGGCCGTACATAGTAGATTGAACAGATATTCACCTTTTACGAGGCAAGTGTACAATCAGATATCACTGATGTTACAATGTTTTATCGCCTCTTCTCCTATCACAGCTACGTTTTTGTAATAATTTCTATAGTTTTAGTAACGTTTTGATACGAAAATGACGATGACTTTTTATATTAAACTTTGAATGAATTAATTATGTGTATTGATTTTTTATACAGCTATAAACATTTTTGTTATATTTCATTTTTGGTGATTCAGTCCTAATAGATTGAAAAAAAAATATTGACTGACTTACTGTAGATTTTCTTCAATTTGAATATAGATGTAAGTTTTCAGACATACGAATATCCGAAATATTTTTGTGATACGACTTATTTTTACAATGATTTGCAAGCACTTAACTAAAATGAAAGTGAAATATTATGCTGATATTTCATGTAGGTATGCTTCATGTATGAAAGCGATTAATAGTCTCAATAACCATTATTCAGTTCTATTGTAATAAGTATTCCATAGATTGATATGAAGACAAAGGGTCAAAGTATCAGGGCTTATGTCGCGACTGAGTCACAGAAGTTGGCAGTGAGGGCTCATAAATATTATGTTTCCCAATCATAGATTATACGGTCACAACTGACAACCCGCAATGTTGCCAACTTTACCAAAGCGAAAGTTGGCTCTAATGTTATTGAACGAACGGTTTTTTTTAAAACCTTTGCACTTTTTCCAATTAGAATTCCAAATTTAAAATATGTGTTAAAATTATTTTATTATTACAAATAGTTTACTATATATTTTAAAGCATCTAAATTTCGCTAGGGATGATCTTCCTGCAGTTGCTCATGACTAAAAGTTATAAAAGTAGTTAATTTATTGATTTTTTTTAAGTTCTAATGTCTCAAGTATAGTTGCAACGGCTGCCCCACCCTTCAAACCGAAACGCATTACTGCTTCACGGCAGAAATAGGCAGGGTGGTAGTACCTAGCGGACTCACAAGAGGTCCTACCACCATTACCATTTAATTCTTAAATGTAAATCCTAATTCTTCTGTTAATACTGATTTCGGCTACTAATAGTAGATCCTATTGTGTGGGTGGATTGCTTATTTCTGTCGGAATGTAATCATGCATACTAGTAAATCTGACTGACTGATTTTTCACTAGTTTCTTTATGTCTCTCTAAAAACTCTTGTAATTTTCCCGTCACTCGTACTGCAATAGTAACACTGGCAACACCATGTCGGCGCCCAGCTGTCGTGTGAAGCGATTTGTGGTCAGAGATTTATTTGCCAACAGATTTTGGCGCCGGTCGCGATGTAGTAACAATCGCCATATTTTAATTTATAATCTATGATTAATTGTATCAATACAAATATAAGCTTCAAACATCTTTGTTGTTGCTTATGTTATTTTAATTTGGTTTTTGAAAAACATAATTAATCTATCTCCTTATTAAAGTCGATCATAAACTTCTGCAATTATACTAAGTACACAATCGTTACTATTTTAAGTATGAAAGTTCAATAGCTTTGTTGATTTTGCGTAGGTAACAAAAGATTCTTTTCAAATTTAATAGTTAAATTATACGAAGCAATACCTTTTACTACGGGCTATAACCTTGTTTAACAATATTACATATTAACATTACGTATTCATTTTATTGCAGTTTTTTTTGCGTAATATTCATTATTTAGGTCGGCCAAAATTGTTTTTTGTTTAGTGACTAAAAACTGGTGCTAAATAAAAAATATTAACTTCTTGTGTACATTTTTTGCATTCTGTTAATTATGACGTTTTAAATACCTTAATGTTTTCGCAGTCACGGATGATAAGATGCTTAAAATCTTGTTAACACGTTGACTGCCATGTAGGATTTCTCTCTTCGATCTTTTTTCTAAAAGGCCGAAATATCTAGTAGACTCTGAGAAAGACGAATCGGTAGGTGCTGAGAATGAATCTATTTCTAAGAGACATAAAAGACTAAAACATTCATCAAAACAAAAGAACGTAAAGTTAGGAAATCCAGGTGCTTAGTAACAGAAATAGACATAATTACTTCAGGCGAAACCTAGGACATAGGTGACTTACATGGCAGTCAAAGTGTTAATGAGTAGTTGAATCTTTCATTCATTGATTCATTCATTCATCAATTTATTCATTCATTGGATAATCTTTATATATATATTTTTTTTTCTGTGCGTGTGTTTGTCACTGAACTCCTCCTAAGCGGGTGGACCGATTTTAATGAAATTTTCTGTGTGCCTTCAGATGGATTCGAGAATGGCTTAGATTTACAAATCAGCCCGGCAGATGACACTGCAGTCGGTATCTAGGTTATTTATCTTTCCTAGAAATAATTTATATGGCAAAACAACGTTTGCCGGGCCAGCTCGTATTTAGTGAAATTTCAAATTCAAACAAATGTACATTATTGATTAATGCTACCAACAATGCGTCCGGTTTTGAGCCCACTAAGGTCGGTGGGTTCTATAGTCCCGCTTATTATTGCCGCGACGCAGCATACGTTTTGGTTTGAAGTTAGACAACCCAATTGCGATATTGACCTCATGTACATTCTAGTGTTAAAAAATTCATGCCGATATTTTGTGTTGTGAGCATGTGCGCTCTGCTGTTTGACAGCTAGTAACGAACGATCTGATACGCAACGCTTATTGTCTATTGACACTGTTCGCCCCGTGACGAATATTGCGCAAGCCCACGAGATACGTACAATGATTGCACAACACACTTATGATACAGTAACGCGATTATTTTAAGGTAACATATTGAAGTTACGTCGTCTGGTGAATTCTTAAAGAATCTTATTACAATTACTTACTGGTGGTAGGACCTCTTTTGAGTCCGCACGGGTAGGTACCATCACCCTGCCTATTTCTGCCGTGAAGCAGTAATGCGTTTCGGTTTGAAGGGTGGGGCAGCCGTTGTAACTATAATTGAGACCTCAGAACTTATATCTCAAGGTGGGTGGCGCATTTACGTTGTAAATGTCTATGGGCTCCAGTAACCACTTAACATCAGGTGGGCTGTGAGCTCGTCCACTCATCTAAGCAATTAAAAAAAAAAAAAAAATTCGCGAAATTTGCATAAACAATTTTTTGATACTTTTGTTTCTTAATTAATACAAAACTTGAATGAGGATAATTATGATGATGATTATTCATGTAAATATTTTCAAAATATCTTCATTTGAAGTGGTTTCAAAATAAGTAAACTTTAAAATGGTTTTAATGTTTTTTTTTTAAGGATCTGATCATTGCAATGATCATTAATGCCCAAAGTCAACTACAGAAAGACTAGTTATAAAACAATCGGATATATATTGAAGATACAACACATTAGCTCTAACAGAAGATAGGCTTTCAACTTTAACTAAACTTTGCCTAAGAATTTACTCTATAAAATGTCGAGCTTCTAAAACCATCGTTGAAGTTGTGCGTTCTTTGTCATTCACAGTTAGAGTTTTGCTATTTAAATAAGCTGAGAAATAATATTATTTGTATTGCAAAATTTTATTATACCTTAATGTTATTCAAATTTTTAATAAGTCATTACATTTTCATATTTAACTAATAATGTTTACAGCTCCCACAAATGCGCAGAGCGTATTGCTTTTCCCGTCTCGGCTTATATCAATAAAATAGTATACATTTGGATCAATCCGAAGATATGCATGCGATCTCATCCGCCGTGAACTATTATAAGGAATAGTATATTAGTATTTTATATGTTCACTTACCAGTTTCCGAATTTCAGTATATTATGCTTCAGTATATGGTGTGTTGTGTACTGAAACTATTAGTTTGTCTAATTACGCTGCGAAACAATAAATAATTTTTAAAGGCATAATAGATGTATAATTTCGATGAAGTTGAGATTTAAATCTCATATCTCAGTTTGGGTAAATTATATTGTGGTTTCATAGGGCCACACTAATCACTTTAGATCAAAAAATTAGTGTCTGTTTTTTGGATATAAGTTGCCTTACTGTTGTACTTCATAGCGCTGCGTAACACCGCGGGCGGCTTAACTTCAATCGCAATCGTTGAAAGCTTCAATCTTGACATTGGTCACGTATTACGAGTAGTAAAGTCAATGTACTATTGTATCACAGCTGTTACTGTACTTGTCATGCACGTGTCGTTAATATTTCACTTATTTCATTAACACGATCTCAATAATTAATTGGGAATTGTTGTAATACGACGAATATTTGGAGTATAGAAAAATATTTTTATTGGTGTAGCAAACAATTCTAATGTATGTGTAATGTATGACTTCTAATATGTATTCTAATTTGAAGTCGTCGTGGCCTAAAAGATAAGACGTCCGGTGCATTCGTGTTGAGTGTTGCACCGGTGTTCGAATCCCAGGCGGGTATAAATTTTTGTAATGAAATACGTACTGAACAAATGTTCACGATTGACTTCCACGGTGAAGGAATAGCATCGTGTAATAAAAATCGAACCCGCAAAATTATAATATGCGTAATTACTGGTTGTAGGACCTCTTGTGAGTTCGCACGGGTAGGTACCACCGCCCTGCCTATTTCTGCCGTGAAGCAGTAATGCGTTTCGGTTTGTAGGGTGGGGCAGCCGTTGCAACTATACTTGAGACCTTATATCTCAAAGTGGGTGGCGCATTTACAGTGAAGATGTCTATGGGCTCCAGTAACCACTTAACATCAGGTGGGCTGTGAGCCCGTCAACCCATATAAACAATATAAAAAAGAAAAACGACCACGACCGCTCTGACAAGAGTGATACGGCATACGATTACTATATAGATATTTTGTTTGCAGATGACGATGAAGAATGCGGCGCGCTGTCCGAGGGCTCGGAGACGTCTGAAGGCGGACGCGCCGACACCGACGACGAGGGTATAGAACGGGACTCGGAGCCGGCTCCCAGGAGACGCAGACGACGAAGACGGTTCATGCTCAAAGATGTTATAGAGGTAAAGCACTAAGGAAACTTAGATGGGCTATTGCAGCGGTCGGGGAACCGGGGGGTTAATTACCCCAAATGAGGTAAAATGAAATTGTGGGGGGGGGGGGGGTAAAAATGAAACTTTTGTGAGTAAAAAGTATATATTGAAGTGAAACTTCTTTAGAATCGTTGTCATTTCTAATTTTTAAACTTCCCGAAAAAAAAACATTTAAATTTAAAAAAGCTTTTTTATGGGGGGCTATATATAAAATTTAAACTAGTTTTTTCATCTAATAATATAAGAAAAATATCATATGAATTATAAAATAACAAGAATTATCAACTTACACAAAAATATTTTGAGGTAATAATTAAAAAAGTTCCCCGATCGTTGGGCTATTGTAAAGGGTTCTTAAAAATAAAGGTTAAGGATCAGTTAACTTCTGCGGACGTTTGAGTGGGTACTAGAAGTCGAGCAATGGACCTGTAACGCATACTTATTCTGATTCTCAACGGTAGGCAGCGGCTTGGCTCTGCTCCTGGCATTGCTGAAGTCCACGGGCGACGGTAACCACTCACCATCAGGTGGGCCGTATGCTCGTCGTCAGGTGGTATTGATGGTAAGACCTCTTGTGAGTCCGCGTGGGTAGGTACCACCATCCTGCCCATTTCTGCCGTGAAGCAGTAATGCGTTTCGGTTTGAAGGGTGGGACAGCCTTTGTAACTATACTGAGATCATAGAACTTATATCTCAAGGTGTGTGGCGCATTTACGCTGTAGATGTCTATGGGCTCCAGTAACCACTAACACCAGGTGGGCTGTGAGCTCGTCCACCCATCAAAGCAATAAAAATAAAATAAAAGGTTCGGGTTCATTCTGATTTACCGTTTTATAGTTTGTACAAATTATTTATTCTACTTAGGGCAACTAAAAAATCATGTTTTGGTTATTTTAATAAATGCGTCAATAATTCCACTAAATTTAATTTTAATAAGCCACTTAGTATACAAATACAGTTTATTATCAAATCGAATGTGTATTAAATTTAAGCACCGTCAATTACATATTAATAGACTTATCAATGGAGCTTCGTCGTTGAGCTTGTTCTATACTCGGATAAGTTCCCGATTATCTTCCGATCGCCACCTGCTTCGGACACTAAAGGGTTTTATGATCATTTCATAACCACGCTTCAGGGTCACCACGCATTTTGTAATTAAACTTTCGTTCGCTGTAAGTGATTTTCGCCTTCGAAATGAGAGCGTGGAATGTAATTGCTGGCTTGTGTAGGAATAGCATGGTTTGTAGACAAAACAATTTTGACAATCTCTATGATTAATTTCAAAGGGAATGCTTTCACCTTAACAGAAATATCAAAGGATCTAGTAACATCTAAAACGTTCGAGAAGTAAAACGCCATCTATTGTCAATAGCGGAAACACACATCGTAAATACTCGACTTGTGGAGATTGTTCTCGATAATGCTAGAGATGTCGTATCGACTATAATAGCGTTGCAGAGATGGCATGCAGTCAGTTAGTAATCGGAAATACTCGAAGCGAAACAGCGAACGGATCACCTGAAGCGAAGCGGAAGAAGTGAATTAAGAATTTTAAACTATTCTGTGAGTGTTCTAAGAGATAAATACAGTTTTAAGTTGTACTTTGGTGGAACATTTATTTAGTCCGAACCCCAGCACGTAACACTATATATGAAAATCAGCAATTTAGCTAAGCTAAGATTTAATATGCAGGAATTTCGTACAAGTAAACAGAAATAGGTAGGTGTTCCAATGAAGCTCGGCGTAAAACGAAAGCCATTATGAGGTGGTAGCCCTGAACGTACGTGTAGTGGTCTATTTAAAATATGTACAACTTTCACTCGAGAACGCATCACGTTTCATGATCCTTATCGGGCTCAGATATTTACATTACGCCTATATTTATTTATGGATGAATGCTTTTCAAATTATTTAGATGATGTTAAGTTTGGGATACACACACCGGATTTTCATCAAAAAATTATGTTTGATTTATTTATTTTTATTTACTGAAAATTAGCGCTGTTCGATTCATGTACTTTGAACAGCATTAGCTGAGCCACCTTTTTTTTCGGGCCGGGGGCCTAACCTCCTGCGAGGTCCCCGCGCCTCAGGGGCGCGCGGGGTATGTTGGACTGGCCCGCGATTGCGAGACCGCGGGCCCAAGCATGTTTTCAGGGCCCTACCCACTAAACGACCCCCCTGCACTCTTCACCCAAGCGTGCGATCCTCTCCGAGGTCAGAACCCGGATGAGGTAAGGGGACTACCGCGGTCAACACTACAACCAGAAGGGCGCAGCTCACCCCAAGGACGCCCAGCCGATGGAGTCTTCGAGGCGAATCGAATGCTCTGAAGAGGTTAGGCAGCTATCCGAACCTTCGTTTTTTTTGGGGCAATGGGCCGAACCTTATACGAGATGTCCGTGCCTAAGAGGCACGCGGTATATGTGGAACTTGTCGCTTTGCCGATGTGTTGAAAGAAGACCGCAAGGCCAAGTATGTTTTTAGGGCTTTACACACCAACCAACTACAGGCAGTTGTCCGAACCTGAATTAAGACACACTACCAAAGCTTGCGGTGACGTACAGCCTTTTCTGCCATTCAAACCGGAAATCAATGAGTGCAGCAATACACCCGTCGTCACATAAATTCAAACCCTATAAAAACAAACAAGACAAATGGTTTGAGCAGCCATTTTCTTCTGTGTTTTATGAATTCATCAGACCCGATGCTCTAAACATCAATAACAAAGATATCACACCGAGAATTATAGTCCCTGACCAACCAACTAGCGCAACGATTCCATCGAATGCAAATCAACGTAAAAAAAGCAGATATTGAGAAATACCGTGTTATATGATATATATAGATCCCACGTTTGTAGTCCGGCCCTTGAAAGGTATGACACGTGTTGCGTCATACGAATGCTTTCACTTCAGTTTTTAAGGGTTATTAGTGTGTAATGTTAAGTGAATATTATGGTAGTTGTACATAATAACTATAAACTATTGGTTTTTTCGGATTTATGTTTATGGAGAGAACCAGTTTGATATATGTTTTACGATTAAAGTTTGGTTTAGTGAATAACAGAGGTAAAGATCTAATAGCGACAGCGACGGGCGGAATATTGCTGTCGGGAATTTATTGTAACTATACAAGCATGTACTGTAAATGATTCAGCTTTTTGGCGGATTTCTTCCATTCTCTTATAGCTGAAGTGTGCATTCGCTGTTTTTATAGGGTTTGAATTTATATGACGACAGGTGTATATTGCTGCACTCACTGATTTCCGGTTTGCTATGGTAGAAAAGTCTTGGCGTCACTGCAAATTTTGGTAATGTTCCTTAATTCAGGTTCGAATAACTGCCTGTAGTTTTTTGGCGTGTAAAGCCCTAAAACATACTTGGCCCTGCGGTCTTCTCTCAACTTCGGCAAAGCGTTAAGTTCCACATATACCGCGTGCCCCTTAGACGCGGACATCTCGTAAGAGGTTCGGCTCATTGCCCGAAAAAAAAAAACGAAGGTTCGGATAGCTGCCTAACCTCTTCAGGGCCTTCGATTCACCTCAAAGGCTCCGTTGGCCGGGCGTCCTTGGGGTGAGCTGCGCCGTCTGATTGTAACCCCCTTACTTCATCCGGGTTCTGACCTCGGAGGGGATTGGACACTTGGGCGAAAAGTACAGGGGAGTCGTTTAGTGGGTAGGACCCTAAAAACATCCTTGTGCCCGCGGTCTCACAGTCACGGACCAGTGCCATACCCCGTGCGCCCCCTAGGCGCGTGGATCTCGTGGGAGGTTCGGCTACCGCCGGTTCGTAATAAAAACACGCTATCTAACCTCAGGTAGGCAATTAGCTCGTCTGCACTTTAGTTAATAAACAAACAGTAAATTATTATTTTTGTATTGCTTTGTTGGGTGGAGCTCACAGCCCACCTGGGGTTAAGTGGTTACTGGAGCCCATATACATCTACGATGTAAATGCGCCACCCACCTTGAGATATAAGTTCTAAGGTCTCAACTATAGTTACAACGGCTGCCCCACCCTTCAAACCGAAACGCATTACTGCTTCACGGCAGAAATAGCAACGGTGGTGGTACCTACCCGCTCACAAGAGGTTCTACCACCAGTAAAATTATGTATGTATCATATTTCCACTTATAAATTTATATAGTGTATGCAAGTTCATTCCATTTATTATTTGAGTTAAAATTTTATCGTTATTAACTTGATCGGTGGGTACACATAAAGCGTGCGTAAAATAACACTCAAGTTTATTTAAGTATGCAAATTGTAAAAGCTCGCTGGTATTAAGTTTAATAGGACATTTTACGCTAAATTTAAGGTTTAAAATCGAGTCCCGAAATTGTTATGGTTTGATTTTTAATTATAATTTTTTTATGTACTTGTAATGGTCGACACGTAACTTTATGTAGGTGTTCTTTTTTACACAGCTGTTGTAATTAATTTCGCGTCTTACATAGCTATGCCGATGTTCTTATCTCATTATTTAAGCGCGGCTTCGCCTCGAGTTAATGTAAACAAAAATATATTTCCGCAATAGTCCTCATTTTCCGGATGAAACGTACTCTATATTACTGTATCTGAACTCTTAACAACGCGTATACAAACAGATCTGCCGCGTCGTTAAGACGTGAAAGCGTAAGGACACAAGTTCACTTTCACGTTTATAAACTTTTTAACTATCAATTTTTACGGTACACAGAAGCGTTCCAACAAAAGTTACAAGCTTATTGTATGTATAATATTTTCAGGGATGTTTTTGTAAGCCTATGTAACACCCACGCCTTTCGGCTTAATCTACGAGACAACCGCTATGAAATACAACTGACACTACGATCTCATGTCTCAAGGTGGTAGTGGTGATGTCCACGGACTTCAGTACCAACTTAACAGTACATGGCTCGCGAAATCGTCGTCGCGTCTAGTGAAATAAAAGTAAAATCTAAAGTTACGTTTTAAAAGTAAGGGGACTTAGTGAATTGTTGAAATTAGTAGGTCGATTGGCTAAGCCGTTTTCTAGACTTTTCTTTCAAGGGTTTAATCAAAGAAAATCTCGTGTTTCTAGGTCAGTAGAGCGAGTGGGTCGTCAATACATGTCGGATTTCCGCAAAAAATAATATCGCATTTCGTTCATGTCTCGTTTATTTTTGTGGACTATTACTAAATTTTATGAAGGCGAAGGAACACGATGACGTTGGGATGTAGTCAAAAAACCTTTAAGAACGACTTTAACCCTTTGTCTCCCGTGTAGGTCACCGGTGCCCTACGCGCCGCACTGAAGTAATTATGTCGATTTTTGTTACTAAGGCGCCAGAATATAGACCGCTTCCAACAATCAGGAAATAATACACAGATTGCAATAGTTCACTACATTTTGTATTGCTTTATTTGTAACTCCACTTGTACAATCTTTTGATATGTGCTCACTACTAAATACACCGCTTTTTCTCCCGTTTTTTTTCAGACTACCGCCTTTTTTATTATATCACGTCCCCACTGCTGCCATTGCTCCCACCAACAGTGTTGCTATTTGGCAATCCGATAATTGCCTTAATTTTAACAAGATACATTTTATTTTAATTATTTTACAACAAACCTTACAATACTGATAATGAATATATTCCTAAGAAACCTAAAAGACTAAAAACTACATTAACAAACAAAAGAAGGCAGTTATTCAATCCGGGCGCTTATACTATTTCCATTTCTTTATTTTCTCGATGACAGTTCTAATTGGATAGTTGTAATGTTGTGACCAAATATAGTAACAGAAATCAACATAATCGGTGTAGTTCAATAATTAAAAGCTCACGGACTCGAACCAAATAAGCCACGTACCTTATTTCGCGGCTAGTAAAAAACATTTAAATATAATAAACATTTTTACTGCTGGTAGGACCTCTTGTGAGTCCGCACGGGTAGGTACCACCAACCCGCCTATTTCTGCCGTGAAGCAGTAATGCGTTTCGGTTTGAAGGGTGGGGCAGCCGTTGTAACTATACTTGAGACCTTAGAACTTGTATCTCAAGGTGGGTGGCGCATTTACGTTGTGGATGTCTATGGGTTTCAGTAACCACTTAACACCAGGTGGGCTGTGAGCTCGTCCACCCATCTAAGTTATAAAAAAAAAAAAAAATATGTGTGCGTGTACTAGTGTACACACGTAAGAAGTGAAACTTGTTTATGGCCTTATTTTTCGAAAAATGATCTACATGCAACTTTCTAGAAATTGGTTAAATAAAGTTAAATTAGATAAAGTTTAAACAAAAGGATTTTATTATCATAGACATGAATACAAAAAAGTTAAATTAGATAAAGTTTAAACAAAAGGATTTTATTATCATAGACATGAATACAAAAAAGTTAAATTAGATAAAGTTTAAACAAAAGGATTTTATTATCATAGACATGAATACAAAACAGATGGCGCGTAACGGAAAAAAGTGACGCGTAACCGAAAAATGTGACGGTAAATTTTTTTCCAACGCCGATAAGGAAGTTTCACTTCAAAAAATTAATTATCATATGAATTATTATTAGTGTTGTCACACAAGGAAAATACTTGAAACGATATTGATAAATATCAAATAAGTGAATTTCATTAAAACTAAATTTCGTTAAAACTACATACGATTAATTAAATTTGGATACGTTTATCGGAATGTATTGATAATTAATATTATCTACGTCAGTACGCGGTGATGAATCGTTATGAGAAATGGAGAAAATATAGTACTTTGACGTCATGATGCGGTGAGGATATTGTGTGAAATTGATAAATAGTAATCCAATAGTAGATAAGCTAAAGCTACAACCAAAATATTATTCTTATGGTGAGGTTGAAATTTCAATTGTATTGTAAAACGGCTGACACATTCTCCAAATGGGAAAGAATGACGTCTCCGAAATAGGTCTAGTACCTAATGCTGAGGAGTTAAGATTCGCCCTGCCACCAGTATACTGCAAATTTATAAACTTTTTGCAGGCTTTTATTACACGATGTCATTCATTTACAATGGAAGTCGTTTATCAGCATGTATTTTTTTTAAGCCGGTACTTCCTCGGATTTTGATCCCCTTCAAAACGTCGGATTAACTCGAAACAGTATACCAAACCAGTAAAGTATACCAAACTTATTAAGGACCGATGATAATTCGATATTAAAAAAATATAAAAAATTTAAATTCAACTAAAAAATGAAAAGTAAATAATAGTTTAAAAAAGCTGACAAAATACGCTCTTATAGAAAATCCAACTAAAAATATAAAATAAATTTAAATAAATTTGAATAAAAAATAGTGTAAGAAAAATTGATTAATTGTAAAATAAAAGCGTATTAATAAGCGTGGGGTACATGGTATCAGTAGTTATAAATATTTTATGAATAGATATGATATGAGTAGAAGGGTTACTTTGATAATATCCTGAAAAGCACTCCACGGCTTTTCCAATAAAATTATTTTTTCTTAAACTATTTTTAATTCAAATTTATTAAAATTTATATTGCTATTTTTTAGTTAGATTTTCTATAAAAGCGTATTTTGTTAGTTTTTTTTAAACTATTATTTTTCAGATATTGTTTGATCTCTCAATTGAATACGTGTTTTTTTTTCTTCTTCAGAGATGCGTTTGGCATTGCGGAGGCGGCGGTCGTTGCGCCCGGGACGCTGCGGCGGCTCACTACCGCGCCGTGTGCCGGGCTCTGGTCGCGGAGGCCCTCGAACTGGCCTCGTTCCTTGCCAGGGTCAGGGTCGGAGGCGCGAGAGACATGGGCGCCGCCGAAGACTCCGCCACGCATCTCGACACGCTGCAATTCTCTGATTGGGTACGTTTGACTATGTTTAATTAGTAATCTAGGCTTAGTTTTCATGAGGCAGTGCTGAAGTTTTGTGTTCACAGTTAAATTGCTTGGAATACTGTTTCTTAAGGCCATTACTCGAAAAGTAGGCTTAAAGGGCGTCGTCACACACGGCGAAGATACTATAATATTTTATCTTAACATACAACGTCGCTTCGCTATACATTTTGTAAGAAGGTTTTTTTTTATTGCTTAGATGCGTGGACGAGCTCAGAGCCCACCTCGTGTTAAGTGGTTACTGGAGCCCATAGACATCTACAATAAGTTCTAAGGTCTCAGTATAGTTACAACGGCTGCTCCACCCTTCAAACCGAAACGCATTACTGCTTCACGGCAGAAATAGGCAGGGTGATCGTACCTACCCTGTGCGGAATCACAAGAGGTCCTACCACCAGTTATTACGCAAATAATTTTGCGGGTTTGATTTTTATAACACGATGTTTTTCCTTCGCCGTGAAAGTCAGTCGTGAACATTTGTAACTGCACTGTAACTGTAATTTGTAACATGCTTTAATATGAAAATATATATTATCTTAACCATGTGTGACAGTTCATACAGAATGTACAGCGGGCGATATTGTATGTTAAGATCAAATATTATAGTATCTTCGCCGTGGGTCACGGCCTTAAGACTTTTGATAATATTGCTCACAAAAAGTAAAATTAAATAGCCAATAACGAATGGAAACTCGTTTCTTGTAACCCAGGTCGGTTTAGTTTTAAAGACAAATCATATGCGTCTATGCTTCCAGTATAAAGGTGAGTTTACAAATATATAGAGTAAGCACGGAGGCAATACAATTCGTAATTCTACGTTGTTTTTAAAATGGTAATATTTTGTTATAGTCAAACCGAAGGATATGGAGAGCTTTGCAAGTACGTGAGCTAAACCTGAATAGTTTTGTGTACTGTGTACATTATGGTTTTGTGTAGTTCTTATGGCTTTATTATACGTATTTCAAGCTGAGAATAATATTAATATAAATATGTAGGTACATAGCATTCATTATTTTCTATTATTGTAAGAAAAAAATAATTTGAATTTTTGGAGTTTACTCCTTTAGAATCGATTTACATATATAGGCCCGGGGTATGAAAATTATGGGGACCAAAATCGTACTAGCATGTCACACGAAATGCGTTATGCGCCGCAGTTACGTGGCGTTATGTGGCAGTCCGCCACAAAGCCTCGTACTGATCGCGCGTTTCTCTCATTATTGTATTTTCATATATTTGTTAGTCGTTTGTTTTGTGTCTCGTTAATTTGTTAATAATCTGTAGTGTATCGTGTTGTCGTAATATAGAACTTTTTCTCGTATTGTTTCGTTTAATTTTTTATATCCAGTAAACTCCAGTCGTGCGTCGGAGCGGACACACACACTTTTTTGTTGTTTACTCCTTTAGAATCGATTTACATATATAGGCCCGGGGTATGAAAATTATGGGGACCAAAATCGTACTAGCATGTCACACGAAATGCGTTATGCGCCTGATTGGCTCCTGATTGCGTGATGCGTGCGCGCGCCAATCAAAATCGTACTAGCATGTCACACGAAATGCGTTATGCGCCTGATTGGCTCCTGATTGCGTGATGCGTGCGCGCGCCAATCAAAATCGTACTAGCATGTCACACGAAATGCGTTATGCGCCTGATTGGCTCCTGATTGCGTGATGCGTGCGCGCGCCAATCAAAATCGTACTAGCATGTCACACGAAATGCGTTATGCGCCTGATTGGCTCCTGATTGCGTGATGCGTGCGCGCGCCAATCAAAATCGTACTAGCATGTCACACGAAATGCGTTATGCGCCTGATTGGCTCCTGATTGCGTGATGCGTGCGCGCGCCAATCAAAATCGTACTAGCATGTCACACGAAATGCGTTATGCGCCTGATTGGCTCCTGATTGCGTGATGCGTGCGCGCGCCAATCAAAATCGTACTAGCATGTCACACGAAATGCGTTATGCGCCTGATTGGCTCCTGATTGCGTGATGCGTGCGCGCGCCAATCAAAATCGTACTAGCATGTCACACGAAATGCGTTATGCGCCTGATTGGCTCCTGATTGCGTGATGCGTGCGCGCGCCAATCAAAATCGTACTAGCATGTCACACGAAATGCGTTATGCGCCTGATTGGCTCCTGATTGCGTGATGCGTGCGCGCGCCAATCAAAATCGTACTAGCATGTCACACGAAATGCGTTATGCGCCTGATTGGCTCCTGATTGCGTGATGCGTGCGCGCGCCAATCAGGAGCCAACGCGCGGCCGCGTTATTGCAGGTGACGCCGGGCTGCTGCGCCGGCAGTCCGCCACAAAGCCTCGTACTGATCGCGCGTTTCTCTCATTATTGTATTTTCATATATTTGTTAGTCGTTTGTTTTGTGTCTCGTTAATTTGTTAATAATCTGTAGTGTATCGTGTTGTCGTAATATAGAACTTTTTCTCGTATTGTTTCGTTTAATTTTTTATATCCAGTAAACTCCAGTCGTGCGTCGGAGCGGACACACACACTTTTTTATTGAATTAATAGTAAAATGTTTAATTGATAGATAGGTTGTGGATTTTGTTTTTTTCATCAGATATTAAAGATCCTTTGTGTTATTAAAATGTGAGGATACATACCTTATAGTATGAGGTAATGTGCATTAAAATATGCATTAAAAATTTTAGCATTAAAATTATTATACTCAAAGTAAACAGATCACGATTGAGAAAGAATACAGAATAGCGCAATATTTTAACTTATTAGATATTTCTTTTATAATAATTATGTAATTATGATAATAATAAGATTTTCGGTATGCATACATTTCTCAAATCTAAAAATAGCAATTTTGTTTCATTAATTTGCTATTTATATTTTTAAGGCGTAATCTTTTAGTAATGGGCAAGTACTTTTCAAAACTTATTGTAATTCGTACTTAATTTTCTTTTAGCATGTCTAAATAATATAAAAAACTTTGTATTCATTGTAGTTTAGGTTTTATAATTTTTATTTTTTACCATCTACTGTAAAAATCCTGATCAATATTAATAGCAATCATGTTTCACTGTGAGTTTGATGTAACTTAGCTCCTGAGAAATATGAATGGCAATCGTGTAAAATATTTTTTGTGTATTTGTTAAATCAGGCAAGATTTTGGATGCAAGTTATCGGCGAACTCCGAATGGGCGTTAAATTAAAGAAAGTGAATTATTCAAGAACGCCAATTGAATATGAATTGACACCGTACGAGATCCTTATGGACGACATCAGATCGAGAAGATATACGTTGAGGAAAGTCGATGGAGCGATACCACAGAGGTGAGGGAGACAAGTGTTTATACTTCTTCTGTCTCTTAGTTTGATTATAATAGAACTGTTTTCTGATGGGTATTGAAGTGAAACTTCTTTAAGTGCGTTGAGACTAGTATTTTTTATTATTATTTTTTTATTGCTTAGATGGATGGACGAGCTCACAGTCCACCTGGTGTTAAGTGGTTACTGGAGCCCATAGACATCTACAACGTAGATGCGCCACCCACCTCGAGATATAAGTTCTAAGATCTCAGTATAGTTACAACGGCTACCCCCACCCTTCGAACCGAAACGCATTACTGCTTCAAGGCGGAAATAGGCGGGGTGGTGGTGCCTACCCGTGCGGACTCCCAAGAGGTCCTACCACCAGTAAAATTTACCAGTATTTAATCCGCGACAGATTCGTTGCGGCTACATACAATTTATATAATAGATAGATATAATTGAAAACATACAATTTAGGAAGAGCGAGAGTGAGAAAATAGACAGAGCGTCTCGCGAACCACTCGTACAAGTAAGTACACGTCCTTACGGATCCATCAGATCCAATAACCTTAGCATTAGACGCCTTCAGCTCTAATACTAGGAGCAGGCTTAGGGACCCCGGTAACCGTACTCGTCGAACTCGGCAAAGAGTTCGACGTGCAACCTAACCCATGAATCAGCTCGCTGAGTTTCTCGCCGGATCTTCTCAGCGGGTCGCGATTCCGATCCGGTAGTAGATTCATTCGCGAAGCAGCTGCGCTTGAGCTGTTAGGTCTCCTTCGGAGGCTCTCGGGCAGCTGTTAGCAAATCGCACCCCCTTCTGGCTGAGCCTTTGCTCGCCCACTTGTCCTGGTGAAACTGGAAAGGCCTCCGGGCCACCAGTAATCCTTCAATCATAAAAAAACAAGTAAGTAGTAAGTAAATTTATTTTGCATTGCAGTGTGAAGAAGGACGCCCACGCTATGATTCTCGAATTCATTAGAAGTAGACCTCCGCTGAAAAAGGTAAGTGAAGTATTGCGTTATGAATTTTAAAATGTACTAAGCATTGACAGACCGACAGACATTGTCTCGTACACACGTCTTAAATTCAAAATGTTAAATTTTTTTGAATACATTGTGATGATCCAGAAAACATACAAACATAATTGACGCCAATAAAAGTTTTTTTTTTTGTTTAGTTGGGTGGATGAGGTCACAGCCCACCTGGTGTTAAGTGGTTACTGGAGCCCATAGACATAATATATACGACGCAAATGCGCCACCCACCTTGAGATATAAGTTCTAAACTCTCAAGCATAGTTACAACAGCTGCCCCACCCTTCAAACCGTAAAGCATTACTGCTTCACGGCAGAAGTAGGCAGGGTGGTGGTACCTACCCGCGCGGATTCACAAGAGGTCCTACCACCAGTAATAAAGTATTAACTGAAGTATAAGTTAAAATAATAACGACTTCAAGAAATTGTAAAATTTCGTTGACTTGAAAAGTTGAAGATTCATTGACTTGAATAGTTTAAGATTTTTAAATGCAAACCCTTTCTACAGGCATCCGAACGTAAATTACCCCCACCGAAACGAGAGGCAACGCCCAGGGAGAAACTCCTCGCTTCCATCCAGGTCGGCAGGCGACTGAGACCGACACCATACTCCAACAGGCTATGTGAGTACGATTATTTTATTTTATCTGAAATTCATGAAGAATCTTCAGCATTATCATTGTTATTATTTCGTCACCTAAAATGATTGTGGGTGTGGAAACACCACGACGTCTGGTATACTCGTGTCGACCGATGCCATTATATCCGCGTTCGAATCCGCAAACATGTACCAATTTTTTGTTCATGTTACTTATCAATAGATGGCGTTAGTATGTGAAATAGTAGCAGTTTTCTTTCGTAAATTATCAACGCTTATTATTTATTAATTTTGCGTCAAAGTTGTAACTTGTAGAATTTGAATTGTATTTAGTAGTTACTATTTTTTAAAAGGAATTTTCGTTTTTTTTTATCTCAGCCTAGGTAATTTTTATGAAATAAATGGCACTACTATGTTACGGTAGATTTCTAACAAGTTCCTAATTGTATTTCACAGATCCCACCCTACCCTAACTGGAAAGTCCTCCCCCGAACCATATCCTTATCTAAAAGTTGGTATATGTGAAATAAATTATATGGAAACTGATTCTGCCTTTATTTCAGTAGAAATTGAGACTAGCTTTCTATCTTATTGTTTTTGTTTAAATTCCTTTAGGAGAAAAAAAGTATGGTAGTTTTCAGATATGTTGTTTTTTCTTTAAATATAATTGCTTTCAATCTTTGTATTGTCAAAAAAACAAATGCCTTTAAAGTAGTCTTGACTACATAATACATATTTAAATGATTCTCTCTCTCTAACCTGAAATTCTATGAATTAAAAAAACATAATAAATACATACGTATAATATTTTGACAACTAGGAACGAAAACATAACATTTATTTAAAAAATGTAAGTTACACTTTAAAAAAAATGTGTGGTGTCGTGGGACACCAGATAGGAACGAAGTTCCTTATTCTAAATATTAATTTTAAGTTCTATTTGAGGTATAAAGAAAATAATTATTCAGGTATACATTTTTTAAAGATTTTTTTATTGATAAAAATAAAAATAAAACTACTTTACAAAGCTATCAACTTTATTACATTCACAATGATTTATAAAAAATATATAATAATAATATACAAAGAAACAGCTATTTATGTGAATAATAATTTTTATTTATTTATTTTTATTGCCTCTGTAGGCAGACGAGCATACGGCCCACATGATGGTGAGTGGTTACCGTCACCCATGCACTTGAGCAACACCAGGGGCAGAGCCAAGCCGCTGCCTACCGCTTAATACTCTCCACAAGCCTCTTTTTAAGCCTAATTATGTTCTATCATAGAAAATCGTCATCACGTAGACTATACATTAGACACTGTATAGCCATCATACTAAGACTATACATAAATAATAAAAATCTTACGTTACGGACGTTTTTTCCCGGTTAGGGTACCCCGCCGCATCGTCCTATAAGGAACTTCATTCCAAAAAACGTAGTAAATAGGGAAAGAAATAAGAAATGCTAATACGCTTTTAGTATAGGTTATGTATTCTTATTTTATGTTTAATTATTGTATCATTTAACGGCGACCCCTCCAACCGAAGCGCAAGATTGATTAACGTCAGAAAGGCGTTCATATCTAGTGACTAAGTAAGTTTACGATATGTTCGGATTGGAACGGAGGCATTGCTGGCTTGAGTGGAATTTGATAAAAGTTGCCCGAGCACCTCCAAAGTAAAAACCTAACAACTCAAGGGCAGCTGCTTTGCGAATGCATCTACTTCCGGATCTTTGTCTAATAAAACTGTTAGATCGGGTGGATCCGTAAAGACGTTTTTAGGGTACCTTTCCACCAATACATGCGACCGCAGTACGCTGTATAGTAAAGAGAACCCTTATGAGTCGTATTCTACTAAATGCCCTAGCATAATTACAAACACGGAGTGGCCCTATTTCTTCTAGCTTGTATTAGTAAACCATTTTCAAAATATGAAATTAACTAAGTTACTCTAACAGCACGAATCGCAAAAATACTATTCCACCAAGGAGGTTAAACGCCTAATATTATTACATAAGAACCCGGTCGATACCCGAATTGCCCGGTGACCTAGACACCCATTTATATTTTGCCAGACGAGCTGACGCCTTTTACGTCTTAGCCATATATTTTATCTTCAGAATTTTGCGAACAAAACTGTTTTATTTGTAGGGCACAGAGAAAAACCTTCCTTAGTAATCAATAAAGTAAGTTGATTTTCATGTATTAAGTGCTTAAATGAGATTCCGGCTCTTTTACACAAACTGTATGTATGATTATTCAATTTGATATTTCTTAAGAGAGTTATCAATTATCTAGGAGACAAAAATCATTAGTTTATGAAACATTTCTCTTGGAGTATATCTGTGATGCGAAACTGGAAATTGTTTTTTTATTTTTTTACCATTTTCTGTTCATATCCTACGACGTCCTGTAAATTTTTGCTAAATTGAACAATAGTACTTAGTCGATTGTTAGTGAAACTATCTTATATCTCTATCTACTTATTCGCTATCTAAGGGGCTATTTCAGCTACGGGCCGAGGGGTAGGTGAGCTTACGGGCTTAATATGAAATAATTTGCTAACACTAGCTCAAGCATGAGTAGTGCTTCGTAGAATCTACCACCGGATAGGAATCGCGACCCACTGAGAAGATCTAGCGAGGAACTCAGTGGGTTACGGCGCAGTCTGATTCCTGAGCTGAATGGGTGGGTTCGAATCCCACTTTGGGGAAATGAGTGTGATTGATCCCTGGTTATTTATTTCTCTATTTCTCTTTGATCGTCCCAAATTACGATGACACAAAACAGGTACTTCGGATATAAAGAATTTGGCATTGAATTTATTTATTTCTTAAGAAAAAGTGACTAATTTGAATTCGATATTCGTTTGCGGAAAATCCAGAACCTTCTGACGTCACGAAGTCCTCCTACTGAGGTAATTGGAGGCTATAAATTAGTAAGCCGTAAAACTTGTGTGAGACCATGTACTCTCTATCTCTCGAACTATTCTTAAAGTGGTGCAGTAATGCGTTTCGATTTGAGGGTCGAGCCGCCACTATATGTACTATGCCACTGAGATTTAGACCTTGTGTCTCAAGGTGGAAGGTAGCGTTCACGTTATAACGCGTATCGCCTATGATAATATTTAGCACAGGAATGTGAGGTTCAGCCAATGTTATATTATATCTATGGAATTATTTTTTTTTGGAAAAGCAACATAAAAATTCATTATAAAAAAATTTGACGTGATTACGTCTTATAAATCGATGAACACCGGTTGCACGCACGAAAAAGTGTCACGTTCCGCCTGAGGCTGAGGGTGCAAGCGAGAGCGCGGAACAAGTGATGGAGATGCACGATCGGCCCAAGCGTTGGCTTGTGACACATTTATCTCTCTTCTCGCAGCTGGAATAGTTCTGCTACTGACCGTCCGATCGTCCGTAAACCGTCTTTATAGGCAATCAATTTTTTTCTAAACCAGTTTACACAATTACACAATCTTTCTGTTTATGTTCATTAGCAGAAGAAGAAAGAACAAAGCAATGCGTTTATAAATATTCTGTGAGTACGAACAAAGTACTTATGTTGAATGTACATAGAATCTGTAAGACCTATTTCGCATAACAAATAAAACACAATGACAGACAGACCCGATAACAATATTATCACTAGAAAATAGAATTCCTTTACGTAACTGTTCGTCACGATCGCCGCGTGGAACTGTAATTGCTCGCGATTGATATACATATCGACGCTTGAAAGGCAAACATGACTAAGCGACAATAACTGCTTTGTACGTAAATGATAGGCAAATACCATATTCGATGCGCAAAAAATATATATTTCTAGGTCTATTAAAATCATTTCAATCCTACAGCTACTAGCTGGATTATATTACAGCTAGATACGTTAAAATAAATTTTGGTTTCAGGTATTTCTTCAACTTTAAATTAGTCTACTGTAAAGTTCACGCATTGTCGCTTAGTCACGTTTGCCTTCTTGATATGTACTTACTCTGTGTGCCTACACACAGCTCGTATGTTGTTGTTAAAATGACTACTAAAACAAAACAAACAAAAACGATTTATAAACAGAGAAGAATATGGTAGGTACTTAACTACTTTTTAATTGCCTATTTATGGATAAATGCGAGATTTCACCACGTTCGTTGATAACGCCTCTGAGTTTTGGTCAAATGTCAAAAACTGTCAAAGTCCCATAAGTTTTAAGTTTATTTAATGTTCGTATTTTAATGGGAAATTTATTAGCGAAACTAGGCACGCCAAGACTTTCTACATAAAATTGCATTTAAAAAACCAATTGAATATTGAAATATTTCGACTTTTTAATTTTTATTTATTACTTTCTTCATTTTTTGTATTGCATTCGTCTAGGGCGAACGAATTCACGGCCTACCTGGTGTCAAGGGGCTAGTGAAGTCCATGGATATCACGGCGTTTTAATAAGGTATTTAGTAAAGAAAGCGAAGCGTAGGTAGGCCTCCCACATGGCTAAAGCATGTGGCACGATACAGGCTGCGCAAAACCGGTTGTTATGATAAGCCTCGGGGGAATCCTATGGCCAGCATTGGACGTCCGTGGGCTGGAAAAAGGTACATACATATATCATAAATTACTGGATGGTGGTAGGGCGTCTTCTGAGCCCGCACGGGTATATACCAACACCTTGGCTATATCTGTCGCGAATCATTAATATGTCCTATTTTGAAAAATGGGTAACCCATTGTACTTTAATAGCACAATGGATGACACTAATACGTAGAACTTATGTCTCAAAGGGGTGGTAGCATTTATTTTGTTGGTGTCTATGGAGGGCCAGAGGTTGGTGTCTAAGGGAGTGAAGTCGTTTCCCGTTTAAGCAATAAAACCTGAGCTAGGAGTTTAAGGAAATCTTTAAAAAATTACCAATTTAAAGGTGACCTCAGACTTCACTTACCTTTATTTTATATATTCTGACTGTCAATATGTATATCTTATACCATTGGCGAAAACGTGGAACATCCCAGAATTTATTTCATTGACCTTTAATTCATACCATATCGGTACATGGTTGTATTGAAAAGTCCCGCACAGCTGATTCAAATTACTTCAAACTAGCAGGTCATTGTCGCATTGTTTGATAGGAATTCGTGTACACCGGCCGCTCTACACATACCTGTACCTATTATGCCATAGATTGTTTGAAGGTTTTTAGTTTCGAGTTATGAAACTTCAACCTTATGCGGCGTGGACATCGACATGTAGATAACACTGCAAAAATTTAAAACGAATAGGTTACATAAATCGATTTCAATTTTTCTTTTTAAAAATACCAACGTTTTTAAATCTTATTTTCCGAACCGAAAGGATTGTTGCACAGAATATACTGCTCTGTAAAAAGAAAAGACAAAAAGCATGAACACAATAGCCGGTACTGGTTGAAAAAGGTTGGTTGCATAAAACGAGTCTATTGATCTGGTCGGACTTATTCATGATTACCTTGACTTTTTATTGGAATTTTACAATTTCTGTATCTAATTACTTATAAAACTCTTTTTAATAACCGTCTTGAAGATATATTAATTAATATATAATCGATTTTGTAAAATTTACTATGTAAAAACAATAAGTGAAGTAACTAAAATAGAATTAATCAACTATATTAACAGGCTTATACATACACGAGTGCAATTGTTAGTTATTAAAATAAGCAGAAGAAATGAAACAATGAAATGAATTTAGGAGACCGTTTACTGGCCTCTCAGTACAGCAGCGCGTACAATCTCCAAGAATTGCCGCAGTCCGTCTTAGGATGTAACAGAGCACGCCCGTCTGTGACTCTTAATTAAAAAAAAAATTGACATGGATTATGGCGCGTAGATTTTGAATATGCGAATGGAAGGAATAAAACATTTGTAAATAAGATTAATCATTCCCTATTGTGTGGCTTCCAATTCAACGCGCCACTGCCAGTTAGTTCTAATAGGATTTTCTGTTACGAACGGATCCGACTTCGCGGAAAATCATTAGTGGCGGTTGCAGTTATCTTAGTGCTGAAGTGACCTTTATTGTATCGTGCTAAAATTGAATTTTGTATTTGTGTTTAATTCGTTAAAATTTCACAAAATATGGGAGTTTTTATTACCAACACTTTGGCGATGGAAATAAGCCGTGAGTACTCTTATATAAGTTTTCTTTTAAACGAAATAGAGAGACACAAAATAATATCTAATGTTTTCATATATTTTTTCTCTAACGAAGAGTTTTTACGGAAAATAGTTAAAATAAAGTGCCATTTAATTTTAGATTATAAATATAGATCTTATCAATGATTACGAATTATGCTAATGCAAATTGAATTTCATATCACAAATTGAAATTTAGAATTAGTATGCGGTAAATAAGGACTCCCTTGGCATGGCTGATATCTAAGAGCGATGGTGATCATTGACCATCATTTTAACCAGTGAGTTGGGTTTAAGTTAGCCTTCGGTGACTGTAAAATCTCATTAATCCTTTGTCTTACAAAGCAACCGTTCCTGTTTGAGTGACGTAATATTGTATGAAACGGGTTTTTCATATAAAATCTTCCGATGGTAGATTTTAGGAAGCACTGCTCTTGCTAGAGCTAGTGTTAACATATTTTCTCAGGATGAGCCCGTGAGCTCACATACCTGTCCGCGCGTAGTTGGTATAGCCACTTAGGCTAACAGTGATTAGGTAGAGGAAAAAATAACCAAACTCGAATTAATTAAGCTGAAACAATGTAAGGAAATGAAAAGGAATGAAGTTTATCAAGAGGGATTCGATTGAGAGAATTCATATTTCAAGATGTCAAGGAAGTTCGTGAGCTCATCTTCCCTGGGCGTAGCTGAAATTGCCATCTAAGCTACCAGCCAATAGGTAGGGAAAAAGACTACTCTGAAGAGCTGAGGATCATCTCGTACAGTTCATCTTCTTTTGCCATCACGACGCTCGGCACCGTAGAGTAGTTCTCCATACTACCTGGAACCAC